TGTTTCTCTAAACTCTCATAGCCTTTTGCCTGGACTTTTTTTTTTTTTTTAAGATGTTATTTATTTATTTGACAGAGAGAGACAGCCAGAGAGAGAACAAGCAGGGGGAGTGGGAGAGGGAGAAGCAGGCTTCCCGCAGAGCAGGGAGCCCCATGCGGGGCTCCATCCCAGGACCCTGGGATCATGACCTGAGCCGAAGGCAGACGCTTAATGACCGAGCCACCCAGGCGCCCCAAGGACTCTTTCATTTAATATAACAAACACTTACAGTATTCACTGTGTACCTGTTTACCATGTTAAGTGCTTTAAAATTTAACTCACTTATTCCTCCCAACAACCCTTGGGGGAGGTATTGATATCACTCCCATTTTTCAGGTGGAAGAACAGGCAGGGAGTAACTTGCTCAAGAGAGTTCAGTGCTAAACGCAGAGCTGGTGTTTGAACCCCAGCTGTCCGCTCTCAACCATAATGCCTCTTTTATGCTCCTGAAAATGATGGATCTTGGATTTTGGTTTTTTACAATCTTTACTCAATGTTCTCTGGATACACATGGAGTTCCTTGGGAGCAGTGCCTGTATGATCCACTCAATATATGCTTATTAACTGATTATAATCACATTGCTAATTGATGCAAATTCATCCAACACAGAAGGATCTACCTGGGACCTAAATAGGAAAGAAAATGCATTATTCCCAAGGCTAAAATGAGTTTGTGGCAGGGAGGATGCAGAAACCACACTCCAAGCTGAATGGCAGCTGGAGAAGGATGGAGGAAATGGAAGACAGAAAGTAGTGTCAACTTTAAACCTCAACTGGCCCCACCCAAAGAGACAGGACTAACTAAAGCTTCTAAACTGTAAAACTGAAACCAAGATGAATAAGCCAAATCACGAGGGAACTCCAGTCTGTTCTGTTGTTTTGTTTGCTTATGATTTACATCACAGTGAAGTTAATTATGAATCAAACTGCCTATGTGTGGAAACCAAACTACAGGTGCATAAAATAGGAGAGAGAGGTGCCCTCCAAGGCGGGGTGGACAGCAAAGGGTTATGGGTGTAAGGAACATGGAAAGAGAAAGCTCCCCCTTGCTTTTCTCTGCCTCCAACCCCTCACCTCTTCCAGCTCACATACTGGTGAGCTGGTCAGGTGTGAGGATGTTCTGGCTTCTAGTCCCACCTCTGCTTCCAACCGGCTACATGACTTTGGCAAGGTCTCTCCCTCTCTACAAGTCTCCATTTTCTTGTCTACAAAATCACTGGGCTACACCATAGCATCTTTTGGTATTTGTTGTTAGTCCCTACTTCTTTTTTGAATTGAGGTAACAATCATAAATCATAAAATTAACCATTTTTTTTTGTTATTGGTATTTTCTTTTTTTTTTTAATTTTTTATTATTATGTTAATCACCATATATTACATCATTAGTTTTTGATGCAGTGTTCCATGATTCATTGTTTGTTCATAACACCCAGTGCACCATGCAAAACGTGCCCTCCTCAATACCCATCACCAGGCTAACCCATCCCCCCACCCCCCTACCCTCTAGAACCCTCAGTTTGTTTTTCAGAGTCCATCATCTCTCATGGTTCGTCTCCCCCTCTGACATACTCCCCTTTTCTTCCTCTCCTGTTATCTTCTTCTTTTCCTTTTTTCTTAAAATATGTTGCGTTATTTGTTTCAGAAGTACAGATCTGTGATTCAACAGTCTTGCACAATTCACAGCGCTCACCGTAACACATACCCTCCCCATAAAATTAACCATTTTAAAATGCACATTCACAGTGTTGTACAATCACCACTTCTATGTAGTTCCAAAACATTTTCGTCACCCCTGAAAGAAAACCCTATACCCGAGGGGGCGCCTGGGTGGCTCAGTTGGTTAAGCGACTGCCTTCGGCTCAGGTCATGATCCCAGGGTCCTGGGATCGAGCCCCACATGGGGCTCCCTGCTCCGCGGGAAGCCTGCTTCTCCCTCTCCCACTCCCCCTGCTTGTGTGTCCCTCGCTCACTGTGTCTCTCTCTGTCAAATAAATAAATAAAATCTTTGGGCACCTGGGTGGCTCAGTTGGTTAAGCGACTGCCTTCGGCTCAGGTCATGATCCTGGAGTCCCGGGATTGAGTCCTACATCGGGCTTCCTGCTCAGCAGGGAGTCTGCTTCTCCCTCTGACCCTCTTCCCTCTCGTGCTTTTTTTTTTTTAAGATGTTTATTTATTTATTTGAGAGAGGGAGAGAACGAGAGAGAGAGAGCACATGAGAGGGAGGAGGGTCAAGGGAGAAGCAGACTCCCTGTCGAGCAGGGAGCCCGATGCGGTACTCGATCCAGGGACTCCAGGATCATGACCTGAGCCGAAGGCAGTCGCTTAACCAACTGAGCCACCCAGGCCCCTCCCTCTCGTGCTTTCTATCTCTCATTCTCTCTCTCTCAAATAAATAAATAAAATCTTAAAAAAAAAAAGAAAGAAAACCCTGTACCTATTAAGCAGTCAGTCCCCCTGCCTCCTCCTCCCAGCACTTGGCAATCGCCAATTTGCTTTCTGTTTCTAAGGCTTTACCTATCCTACATATTTCGTATGAAAGGAACCATACAACATTTGGCCTTTTGGGTCTGGCTTCTTTTACTTAGCATGATGCTGTTTTCAGTTCATCCATATTACGGTATATATCAATCCTTCATTCCTTTTTTATGGCTGAATAATATTCCATTTCAGACTACAGTATGATTTCGAGCTCCAACATTACAATCCCCTTTTCTTTTCAAACATCTGTTCACAAACACATTATGAGCACCAATTAAACACAAGGCAGGTACTAAGGGGAAATGATTGAGAAATTTGTAGCCTCTTGCTATATATATACTTTTATTTGGATTATGACATTTAAAAGTGCCCAATCATAAGTGTACAGCTTCATGAATGCTCACAAAGTAAATACAACTATTACCTTTAAGCCGGTCAACAGATAAAGTATTATTTGCACCCGTACTTGTCTTCTCATTACCCACTTCCAATTCTCGTTTTCCTCAAGGTCACCACCATTCTGACTTCAAACACTATACATTAGTTTTTCCTGTTTTTGAACTTCATATAAATGGAACCATACAGTGTCTACTTTTTCATGTCTGGCTTCTTTTACTCAGTATCATGTTTGTGAAACTCACCCACGTTGCTGCATGTCACTGCCATGCATTCATTCTCATTGTTGTATAATGTTAATAATATCCGAATTTATTCATCCATTCTATGGTTGATGGGCATTTGTGTAGTTTTATCTCTGTGCCATTATAATAGTGTTGCTATGAACATTCTGGGCTATGTCTTTTGATAAACTGATGTACACACATCTTTTGGGCATATACCTAGAACTCAAGTTATTTGAGTCATATATTCAGTTTTACTAAATACTGACATGGAATTTTCCAAAATGGTCACGCCGTTTTAGATTCTCATCTCTTGCTTCCAGGGTAGTCCCTTCCAAAACATGGGGCTAGTACCCACTGCTGTACTAGTGGTACATAAAAGGATTTATGTGAGGAGCAAAATAAATAACATCAAGTCCCAAAGTGAGAAAATTATTACCCTCTTAATGCTCTTTAAATCCTTCTGATTACATAAAGAGAACCCCATGTGATACCGGGATGCTGTTAGCCACCTGTCTCCCTTTTTACAAAGTCTCAGATTTTCAGCAGGCAACTGTACCTAGTTGCTACTTAATAACATTTTGTTTTAATGTATTTATTTTTTAAATATCTTATTTATTTGTCACAGAGAGAGCGGGAGCACAAGCAGGAGGAATGACCGGCAGAGGGAGAAGAAGGCTCCCCGCTGAGCAAGGAGCCCGAGCTGGGGCTCAATCCCAGGGCCCCAGTCTCAGGGCCCGGGGATCATGACCTGCGCCAAAGGCACACGATTAACCAACTGAGCCATCCAGGAATCCCTAATGTATTTATTTTTTTATTTTTCATTTTTTAAAAGATTTTATTTATTCATTTGAGACACAGAGATAGAGAGCATGAGCAGGGGGAGTGGCAGAGGGAGAGGGAGAGGGAGAAGCAGACTCCCCGCTGAGCCAGGAGCCCAATGTGGCGCTCCATCCCAGGACCCCGGGATCATGACCTGAGCCAAAGGCAGACGCTTAACCATCTGAGCCACCCAGGCGCCCCCCTAATGTATTTATTTTAATTATTTTCTATTAATAGCAAGTTACAAGGTTTTACCATTGAAGTTATTTAACATTTTCTTTCAAATAAATTCATTTACGTTTTTCAAAAGTGAGTCAACTTAAAGAAAATAGTAAATAATATATACAGATTCAAGAAACTAAGTTGGTAGTGGAATGACTGGTGTCTGGAAAACACCTACTTAGAGTCTGCATCTACCGTAAGGCCACCGTGTGATTTTTATCTGTGTTTGATGAGCTTGCTTCAAAATACCATGCTCACCACTGAGCACTTGGCTTTACTAATCAACAGAAAGCAGAATTTAAATTTGTCCCAATTCACCCAATTTGGGGAAGAGAGGCCAAAATGGAAGTCCACACACCATCCCAAAGGTTTTCAGAACACCAAAAACTCGACGTGTCTGACCCACTTGGCTTAATAATGGAAAAAAAGGTCTTTAAAATTAATTCCATCTCCTGCAGAATCCAGAAGGCTCTACCTGACGCCTAAACAGGAAGAAGAACCTTTTGCAGAAGGGGTAGAACAGTCATGCACACAGGTTAACCATAAAAATCACAAACTTCCCAGCTGGATTAGTCCTTTTTAGGTTGGGGCGGCGGTTAGAAACAAAGTGTTGTTTTCCCAAGCATTTCGTTACTTAGAAGCCACAGCGGGCATTTCCCCCTCGGAACTGGGGCCGAGACACCTGACAAATAAGTCGACGCGAGGAAGGTCCCAGCAAGAGACGGGGAAGTCATCTTCCCCGCCCCCGCTCCGGCGCAGGCCCCGCCCCGCCGCCGAGGCTCCGCCCCGGGGCCGCCCCCGCACGCCCCGTCTCCTCCCCTTCCCCGCCAGTCCCGCGAACCCCGAGCGCACTGAAGATGGCGGCCGCAGTGGGACGATTTCTCCGGGCTTCGGTGAGTGGCTGCCGGCAGGGGACAAGAGCGGAGACACAGTAGTGGTTCCGACGACGTGCTTCCCAGACAGGATCCTGCTCCCTGTGGTCTGAGGGCCCTTTCGCCGTTCTTGGCGGGCACCAGCGGGTAACGGACCCAGAGGCCTCGCTTCTAGGGAATGCGCCTGCGCAGAACCGCCCCCTCCCAACTGTCCTCTCTTCCAATCCCTCCTCTCTCCGAGCGGGGGTCCTCAGTCCTCTCTCCACCTGAGCACCCCGTCCTGGAGGCAGGGTCTCTGGCACGTCCCTGTTCCGTAGCTACTCTGTGACCTTGGACACGTGACTTCACCTTTTCGAACCTCAGTTTACTGTCCTCGCCCAAAGATAGAATGATGCCTTCAGTAAGGCTTTGCAGTAATAAGCATCCACTAAATGGTGGATGGAAACCAAAGTGGTAAAGTACGAAGTGCTAAAGTGCAAAAGGCAATGCCCTCCTCCCATCCCCCAGGTCTGTACCCGCGCTTTCCCCCTGGCAAAGCCGAGCACCCTCTTGGTACCCTCTCTTCCCTTTCTCCTGGCGGGGTTGAACGCAAGGCTCTTTCTTCTTCCTGAGTCGTGCTAGACACTGTAGTTGAACAAACAATTCCCTTGAGCCCTGTACGAATTTTCCCAGAGGGTGAACTTTGCTCTACTTGTTTGCTTGTCTGCGGGGCCTTGTCTTTTCTGGGAAAACCTTGACATGATAGAACATACTTAGTGGATCGTGCTGGTAAAGGGCGTAAATACACGGGGCCTGGCCAAGTCCCCTTGGTTTTTGAACCCTCTGTGTTGTTCTTAAGAGCATGGAGTCTTTATGGCTTTATAATTTCCCTCTGCCTTCCAGGGTTTTAAAAAATTATTTATATATTTTTAAAATAAAAGTATATACTTAAGCTGTACAACGTGATGATTTGATATACATATACATAATGAAATGATTACTTCAGTCAAACTAACATCTCTTCACATGATTACCTTTTTTGTGTGTGACGAGAGTCCCTGAAATCTACTCTCTCAGCAAATTCCCAGGGTTAAGTATGGTATTATTAAGTATAGTCATTGTACCCCCACATTAGATCTCTAGATTTATTCATCCTACATAACTGCAGCTTTGTACGCTTTGACCAACATCTCCCTGTTCCCCTCTTGCAGTCTTGAAGCAGAAGGAAGCAGAAAGGAATGTTAAGAACATGGAGGTTCACTCTGTACTCTTATTAGAGTTTGGGGTTTGGTATTTGGTTCACAGGAGCAAGGAGAGCGGAGGCGACCAATGATCTAATGCCTTTCAGCAGGGTCAGCCTTCGGGCTACTTCCTAATATAAAGTGTTTCTCTTTCCAGATTGCCCGACATGTGAGTGCTATTCCTTGGGGCATCTCTGTCCCTGCAGCCCTTAGACCTGCTGCTTCCCGAAGAACATGCCTGACAAATGTATTGTGGTCTGGTTCTGGTCAAGCAAAATTCGCTTTTAGCACCAGTAAGTGTTATGCCTTGGTTTGACCCCGGTAATATGAATCATCATCTCAGGACATGGGCTCTGAACCCAGGCTATCCATTAGACTCACTTGGGGAGCTTTTGAAAGTATACCACTACCCCAGTCCCACCGCAGACAAATTAAGTCAATATCTGAGGTGAGACTGGGACATCATTTTGTTTTGTATTGTTTTTTAATCTAAATGTTAGCATAACGGTATTATTAGTTTTAGATGTACAACATAGTGATTCAAGATTTATATACATTAGGTGGTGACCACCATGATAAATCTGGGTACCATCTGTCACCATACAAAGCTGTTATGGTATTATTAACTGTATTCAGTATGCTGTACATTGCACTCCCCTTTTTGTAACTGGAAGTTCATACCTTTTAATCCCCTTATCAGTGTATTTTAAAAGCTCACCAAATGATTCTAATGTCCAGTCAGGACTGAAAATTACTGAGGCAGACTGCCAGTGTCGCATTTCCTTGTTGGTCACCAACACCAGCACATCCTCCATCTCCTACTTGAAAATCTCCAGTGATCACTCTATCCCTTCTTTTAAGAACAAATGCTATGGGGGCACCTGGGTGGCTCAGTCGGATAAGCGTCTGTCTTCCACTCAGGTCAGGATCCCAGGGTGCTGGGATCGAGCCCCGAACTCCTCCCCTCCCCCACCCCGTGTCTGGCTCCCTGCTCAGCGGGGAGTCTGCTTCTGCCTCTTCCTCTGCCCCTCCCCCCACTCACGTTCTCTCTCTCTCAAATAAATAAAATCTTTAAAAAAGAACAGATTCTAGCCTGATATTTAAGGGCCCTCAGAGTGTGGCCTTCCGCTGTTCATGCTTCGTCTCTTATGCTTCCTTCCACACACACCTCTCTGTTCTATTCAAACTGCCACGGGCTGTTCCCCACACCTCCCCTGTTCCCTCTTCCCTGTCCTGCCTGGACATGGCAAAATCTGAGCCGTATTTAGAATCCATGCCTAGGCTCCTTTCCTCCTCAATTCTGTCTCAATTTCGTCCCTACCATCTTCTGGCATCATCTTTTTAGTCTTTTCAGTCGCCATAGTACTTTGAATTGAATTTGTGTACCATCTAGAACTACAGAAGGGGGGGTATTACCTAGACGTAGGGTTGAACTGAACCTTTTAATTAATTTATACTACTAATTAATTACTATGAGAGATTTGAATGAAGTCAGATAGGTGTGTGATTTAGCAGATGATGAACTACATGTGCGTGTGGGCTTCCTTCAGGTTCCTCATACCACGCTCCTGCCGTCACCCAGCACGCGCCCTATTTTAAGGGCACTGCCGTTGTCAACGGAGAGTTCAAAGACCTAAGCCTTGATGACTTTAAGGGGAAATATTTGGTGCTTTTCTTCTATCCTTTGGACTTGTAAGTGTAATTTCTGTGATGCTTTAATGTCATTTAAGGTCCCTGCTTCCACCCTGACATTTCCTATCTCTGGTTGCTCTTCTGGTCAAGGGAAGGGTTCTTTCAGATCCTTTTATCACTGGTGGCCTTGCTGAGGACAGCTTGCATCTGTACAGTAAACACAATAAATAAATTTAGAGGAGGGGATGGCATTCTTTTTAGTGGGGTAGGGTTTCAACATGGCTCCGTTTTATGTGCTCCGGAGCTGTGGTTCCCATAAGCCAGTCTGTAAGGAAGTTGTCACTGGCCTGGAGGAAAAGGAGAAAAGTAAAGGTAATAAAATGACTTTTCTCATGAAGCTACTTTATTTGTTCCTTTATTCTTAGAATATGCCTCTTTTCCCCTGCCCACCCCCATTTTTTGGTATGATTCTTAAATAAAGAGGTGAGTCTGGTGAGAATGGTTAACTGTTTTTGCCTTCTTCACCTTTAAGCAGTTGAACTAGTTTTTAGGCTACCTGTTTAAATTTTAAATCCTTGTTTTTAAATTCTCTGTTGGGAATTTCTGCCCTTTTTTTCTAGCACCTTTGTGTGTCCTACAGAAATTGTTGCTTTTAGCGACAAAGCCAATGAATTTCACGACGTGAACTGTGAAGTTGTTGCTGTTTCAGTGGATTCTCACTTCACGCATCTCGCCTGGATCAACACACCAAGGAAGGTATAAACCTCAGTGGCCCTGCCTTTGCACTTAGGAGCCTAAAAACTGAAAAGATCCCATAAAATACTAACCTAGAGGGGCGCCTGTGTGGCTCGGTCGTTGGGCGTCTGCCTTCGGCTCAGTCATGATCCCAGGGTCCTGGGATCGAGCCCTGCATTGGGCTCCCTGCTCGGAGGGAAGCCTGCTTCTCCCTCTCCCACTCCCCCTACTGGTGTTCCTGCTCTCGCTATGTCTCTGTCAAATAAATAAATATTTAAAAAAAAAAAAAAAAAGACTAACCTAGAAATTGTAAAAGCATGACTAGTCTGAAATGGGCTATTTCTAGGTCCTAAGCTCCTGGCAAATTCTGTTAAACTCTGTCCTTATCTCCTTCGACATTGCCTGGATTTACTGCCCACTACACATGTGTTTTCCAAGATATAAACAGTAACGGAGAACAGGCCCAGCAGGGTGGGAGCAAGGACAGTTGGGATCCGATGCCTCCTCTCTCGCGGGTACCTTGTAGATCCCACATACCCTGCATGGCTTGTGGGATGGTGGTTAAGTTCTCTGATTTCACTCTTCTGCATGATCACTATTGCTGAAAAACGATTGGGAGAATCAAAATTTCTAGCCGTGTTGCTGGACTATCAAAACCAAATTATTCAGTCTTTATTACGCTTCCATTTTTATGCTACAGAAATTAATCTTCAAGTAAAAGAATACATCGAGAATTAGAAAAAGAAAGGTCTCCAGTATTAGCTGGGTTTAAATCCTGCCTCTGTCCCTTTCTAGCCATGACCTGGAACAAGTAACTTAACTTTCGTGTGCCTCAGTTTCCTCGTGTGTAAAAAGACAATGATAGTAGTATCTGCTCCAGGATAGTACTGGGAGGAAGTGAGTGAACAGAAAGAGCTAAGAGCAGTGCTCGGTCCACTGTCAGTTCTCAGTTGCTGCCACCTGTCGCCATTCTTGTTAGCCTCAGACATCAGTTTGCATGGCTGAGAATGGGGAGAGCATACGGTGTAACAGCCAGTCATGTCCGCATTTTTGTTAGAATGGCGGCTTGGGCCACATGAACATCGCACTCCTGTCAGATTTGACTAAACAGATTTCCCGAGACTATGGCGTGCTCTTGGAAGGCCCCGGTGTTGCTCTAAGGTAAGATCATGTTTCTCAGGAACTTAAACTTGTTTTTCATGTTTACATTCATCCCACTTAGAGGACTTACAGAGCCCTCAGTAAAGCATTTTGAAAACCAAAAAGCTTCCATTCACTGTAGCCTTTCGGAAGCACTGATGAGTGCCTTCTGCGAGTGTTGGCCGTCTCGGGATGGCTGAGATGTGTCTGCCGCCTGCAGCACCCTGTGTCTCTTTCTGAGGACCAGTGTGTCGTGGTCACACTGCTGCGCTTGCCCTCACCACCTGGGAGCTGCTGTCGTGGGAGGCACACTCCTGACATGTCCGGAGAAAGGGAGACTAGCAGACTGTAGGAGTCAGTGAGCTGGGGTGGGTGAGGTCTTGTTCAAGCCCTGGAATCAGACCAGAGTTTGATTTTTTTTTTTTTAATCTCACCTATTTATTTAACAGCTGTATGACTTTGGGCAAGTTATTGAACCTCTTTGAGTCCCAGTTTTCCCATAACTAAAATGAGAATGGACCTCCCAGGTTGGTTGTGGGGACTAAATAAGGTGAGGCGGCCAAAGGTTTTAGCACAGGTTCTGGTAGCGTCATGACTCCTGTCCCAGAATGTCACTTCTGTCCTCATTCATTCAGTGGCTAGATCTTTATTCCTTTGAGTGTGAAAGCTTTCTGTCTTTAACAGTCCCGTATGCAAACACAGCCTTCCTGGGGGTGGGGGGATTAGACCTTAAGCCTTACAGTGGCATCTTGATGGTCACTGAGTGAAGGGGGGCTTGGTCAGAACTTGATCCCCAGGGAGCAGGCAAGGACCCCACTCTGATATGCCTCACAGTTTTGCTGGGGCCTGGCTTGAACCTGCTCACCTGCTCTTGTTGCCTCACTCTGCTCTGGCCTGCTTTCCTCTTGGGTGACACCTGGAGTTGTAGTTCTGGGAGCCACCTTGGAGCTTGGGCCTCTTTTACTCCGGGAGATTCTGTCTTCCTTTAATACACAAAAGCCTGGCTTTGTCCGCCCAGGACCCCCTTCCCTGTGAGGTCTTGCTCATTTTGCCATTACTTCCCTACTGGTTTCACTGTTAGAATTGACAAGGGAGGGTAGCCAAGTCTGGTTTGGAAGATAAGGCTTGCTTTCCGGAGTCTGGGGGCCCTGCATCTGCACCATGGACTCCAGCTTGGCTCCGCTCTTGGTCAAGGAGCTTACAGCAGGACCCCCTTGAGCCTCAAAGCCTAGACCCCCAAGAGCCAGGTTCAGGGAGGAAGAAGCACCTTTCACCTTGCCTTTTTCTTTTACTTGTTTTTTCACTGCATGATTAACACTTGGAATGCCACACCCTTTTAAGACAGACTGTTAAAACCTGTGGTTGACCTGTATCTGCATATGTCATAGTAACCCCAACACTTGCACAGAGGATGAACACAGACCACAGGGTAGGTCACTTCATTATGCTGCTGCCAAGTGATAAAGAATAACAGTCTTTGTTTTTCCTTTAGATTTCTGCTCAGCCTAGACTTAAGGCCAGTAAATTCTTTCTGCAAAGATTTCCCCAGGGGACTCCCCCCCCCCCCCATTTACCCAAGAATTCACTCATTTTTATCAGTATTTACTGAATATAGATAAAAATACATCTCTGCCTCTCCTCGTCTGCCTCTGGTTTCTTCTCATGATTTGATACAGCCACCCAAAGAACACCTAAATCACTAATAAGTTAAAGAAGTCTGCTCTCTCTGACTTTTAGACTCTATAACTTTTCTCTGTGGGAAATACTGCCTGTTTTCCACATTGGCCTGGTCTAGTCACATCTGTGTGTGGCACGCCATCAGTGAGAAATGATCAGCTTTGTGTGTAACAGTGAAAGCCCCACGTTTAAGCATACGATGGAGTTTAATGCTTTATTGAGGAGAATTAAAGACAGAAGCGGGTAGAAGTTAGACTTTGCTCTTGTGGTTCCGCTGAGGTACTAATGGGGATAAATCCTGATGCAGAGGTCTCTTCATCATTGACCCCAATGGAGTCATCAAGCATTTGAGTGTCAACGATCTCCCTGTGGGCCGAAGTGTGGAAGAGACCCTCCGCTTGGTGAAGGCGTTCCAGTTTGTGGAAACCCATGGAGAAGTCTGCCCAGCAAACTGGACCCCGGATTCTCCTACAGTAGGTTTCCAAAGGCAGTGAGACCCCAGCATAGGGTCCCAGGTCCTCGCTGCCTCCAGGGCTCCTGGCCTAGAGTACCTACAAAAGGAGCCCACCCTTAGAGCAAGTGTGCAGATGGTGTGCAGATGGGTGAAGCTGCCGAGGGGCAGGGTTTGGGGCGGGGCCAGGGATTAGGCAGGCTGTTGATGTAACCTTCATCCGTGTATTTTAAAGGAAACAGACCACGCTTTAAAAAGTTAAAAAAACTTTGGGTTAAAAACTGAGAGCTTTCAACTCACTTTTGAGACTTACCTTGAAGTCAGCTGCCTAATTAAATGTTTTTGTATTTTCAGATAAAGCCACATCCAACTGCTTCCAAAGAATACTTTGAGAAGGTAAATCAGTAGATCATCCCATGTGTACCCACCTCTTCTCACATCAGGAAAGAGCTGCAGTTGGAACTCACTTTGAGCATTTCAAAGATGATTATTTATAGAAGACAAAACACCAATTATGCTTGTATTCATAAATAATACTCTAAATGTTTTAGTGACTTTGTAACATTGGCTGAGGCTTTTAAATGTCCTCACACACTTAAAGCATCCTTTATTGGTAACCTCTTGATGGCTGGCTAGTTTATAGAATGCTAGTTTACCTGTTGCTTGGATTATCTTTAATGGAAAGAGGAAACATTCTTTGTTGGCCTTACTTGAACCTTCGTGTACACCGGTACAATAGTACAACACTCACTGAAGCTTCTGATCAAGGGTCCTGAAAAGTTTCTTCTTGAATTTCTTTGTACAAAACTGAATTTTCTTTTAAGGTAACAAAGATCATACATAGTTTTAAGGTGTTAACATCAGTGGTCTAATTTAACTCTTGCAATGAATGGATATGTACTTGAAACAAATGAGAATCATGTTTTTAAAAAACACGGTGGTGGGGCGCCTGAGTGGCTCAGTCGTTAAGCATCTGCCTTCTGCTCAGGTCGTGTGGGATCGAGCCCTGCATCGGGCTCCCTGCTCCGCGGGAAGCCTGCTTCTCCCTCTCCCACTCCCCCTGCTTGCGTTCCTTCTCTTGCTGTGTCTCTCTGTGTCAAATAAATAAATAATCTTAAAAAAGGCACAGTGGCAGAGTGACTTAGGTGATCGTGCATATTTCTCGTCCCTGAGATTAATATAGTTATTTTACTTGTTAGCTGACATAGGGTCTACATACAATTCCAGATATTGATTGGGTGTAATTATAAAGGATATTTATCGAGTCTAGGAATTGCATTTTGAAATCATTGTGATTATTTTTTCTGAAATGCTCATTGTGTAAAGTACATAATAAACATTTTAAAAATACTTGCATGTTTAATACCATTAATTGTTGGTTCAGCTTATATTATGGGGCTGTAGTTTTCCTTCTTATTATATCAACCAACATTTGTGGAGCATTTAACTCAGGGCCCACAAAAATGAGTAAGATGCTGGCTCTACACCCAAAGAGCTCAGGTTCAGGCAAGAGAGAGATGAAGCATTTATTCGTTATTGTGGCAAATCCTGAGTGCCTACCACATGCCAGGTGCTGTTTTGCAGGCACAAGGGTGAATCAAAAAAAGACAACCCCCTTCCTTCATGCAATTACATTCTAGAGGGGGAAAACCAATAAATACGATAAAAATACATAGAATGTTTGGAAGGGAAATAAACTGCAGCAAGGGCTAGAGCAGAGAATTGAACAAGCTAAGGACTTTGGATTCTCTTCTAAGATGGAAAACATAAGGAAGGTTTTGACAAGAGTCACGTCAACTTGTTCTAGGAGGATCACTGTGGCTCCTTTAAGACTAGACCGTAAGGGTCCTGAGAAGAGAAGCTGAGCTGGATTTGTGACATACTTGAGGGTAGAGCCAACGGGATAATATCAGTGTGCTAAATACTATGGCACAATGGATGCATCCCTGGGGCATAAGGGGAACACTGAGGAGGGGCACCTTACCCAGCTATGGGTGTGGGAAAGAACTTCCTGGAAAAGGAGATGAACTCTTGAGGCTATAGAAAAGTGAGCCAGGTGAACTGAGTAAAAGAAGCTGTCAAGTTACATTGGCCTGAAGAAAACATGAGCTGGTTTCATGTCCCTGGAGGGGAAGGCAAAGCAAGGCAAGGCAAGGGATGGAATAGGCCAGTGGGCTATTAAAGGCCCAAACAGGATTTCCAATGGACCCAGTGTCATATTAGGACTTTCACATGTTTTAACTCATTTGATTCTCAACAAAACCTTAAAATAGGTATAATTATTGTCCTCATTTTACAAATGAGTAAATAGACGCACTTACATTGACTTGACCAGGACCATCCAAGTAAGTAATCGGTGGTGCTGGGTCCTCAACCCAAGACTCAAGAGGATCCCTGAACTCCTTAAACATCCAGGAAGATACATTCAACAAACACCCATAACCCCCACCCACCATAGTGCAGGGCCATCGGGCTAGGGGGGGCAGCAGCAGGAGGAAGGCAGGTGCATTTTTTCTCTACAACCAGCACCTACTTGATCTGGTATTCAGAGGAACTGGACCTGCCACAGTGCAGTTTGCACTGTGTGTGGTGACCCCATCACAGGCCAAGGCAGGGCCCCACACTTGGAAGGGGACCTGGGCCTGGTTTAATTCTCTGATACTGACTTTTTTTAAATTACTTTTTTTTTTTTAATTTATTCATTTAGAGAGCACAACCGGGAGGGGCAGAGGGAAAGGGAGACAATCTAAGCGGACTCCACACTGGGCGTTAGCCAGGGGCAGGGCTTGGTCGCTCCACCCGGAGATCAGGACCTGAGCGAAACCAAGAGTTGGAGGCTTAACCCACTGCACAACCCAGGTGCCCTTAAATTCTCAATCTTTTTTAAATAAGGGGCACCACATTTTCAAATTTCACCGTGAAAATTAAGTAGCCAGCCCGGACTATCCCGTGCCCTCCACACTGGACTTAAAGGGCAACTGAAGATTCTCCACCATAATGTCCAAAAAGTTGGTGCACTTGTCACGTGGGTAAGATGCAGGTCCTTCTCAGTAGGTGCTAGGATACGAGGATTCCCGTAGGTGACCGACCCCCGCCCCCAAGCTGGAAGCGGCCCGGCTACCCTAACGGGTAGAAAAGGCTGGGAAGACTTGGTCGGTGGGAGGGTGGGCAGGCTCACGGGGACCGGAGCGGGGGTGGAGGCGTGGGATCTGGGGCGCTGGCGCGTGGTGACAGCGAGCAGCGGGAGTTCGGAGACCGGGCAGCGGGAACACGAGGCGGCCGAGGCCAGGGCGCTGGTACCCGGCGACACCAAGCCGCGTGCGCGCCAGGAACGCGGCGGCGGGAACAGGAGACGCGCGCGCGCCCGGGGCGGGGCACGCTGCCCGGCTCCTCCTCCGCGCCTGGCCCTGCGGCCGCCGCCTCCCCAGCCACCGCACAGGTCCCAGGAAGCAGCGCGGGAGGAGGAGGAAGCGCGGGGGCCCGGCGGCTCCCTGGGTGCAGCGGCACGGCTCCCGCATGGAGCCCAACGTGCGCTTCTGGATCACCGAACGTCAAGTACGGCCTGGGCCCGGCGCGGCTGGGGGCGGGGTGGCCCTGGGCCCCGTGGAGTCGCCGGCTGGCCCGGGTGACCTTGGGCAGGCCACGTGGTTGCACCACCCGCCTTCCCACCTCAGACCCCGGGAGGGGACGAAGGGGAAACCCAACCCAAGGGTGCGGGATGCCGACAGCCACGGCGGTTACCGCGTATCACCTCTGCCCCGGGCCTGGCTAGCGAGGATCGCCCACAAGGTCGCCCTGCTCTGGGGAGTCAGCCCCCCCCCGCCCCCCGCAGGTGTCTGCCCTCTGCTGCCTGAGCTGATGCTGAACATCAGGTCGGAAAGGAACAGGTGCTCCCAGGAGCCCCCAGCCTCCCAAGCTCGGTAGGCTCAGCCACTCAAATGACGCGGGGACTGCGGGCAGCCGACGAGGACAGGCAGTCAGTCGCTCCGGCCCCGCCCAATGGCAATGTGATGGGAGCCATATAGGTCATTTAAAATTTTCTAGTAACCACATTCAGACGGGTAAAAAGAAATAGCTGAAATTAATTTTAATGTATTTAGCCCGACAAATATAAAATACTAACATTTCAACACATAATCGATATAAAATTATTAGTGCGATATTTACATGCTTTTTTTTCTAGAAAGTCTTTGAAGTCTGGTGTCTGTTTTACACATATAGCATACTTCAGTTTGGCTTGGCCACATTTCAAGGGCTCCATAGGCACATGGAGCTAACTGGACAGGATAATTCTAGGGTGTTCTCTTTCAGCCTTACCTAAAGTAGGGCCCAGCGGGGCTTTCTCAGGTGGGGAAGTTGAAAGGGACAAGGAGCTCATGCCCCCTCCACATGTGAACTGAGCAGCCTTTACTGAGGCCTTGCTGGGGGTGTCCGGTTCTTTATGACTCAAGTTAAGCCTTATAACAAGGATGAGGGTAAAGAAACAAATTCTGAGACCCTTCTAGGTAGTTGGTTCAAGGTCATTTGTGGGATGTGGACTAGGCCCATTCGACCCCAGAGTCTGGGCTTTTAACCTTCAAGAGTAATTTGATGTGGAAGTGGTTAAGAGCACATGCTACTGAGTCCTTTCCTGGCTGGGTTTCCATAGGTACGTTCATGAGCTTTTCTATGCCTGTTTCCTCACCTGTAAGATCCCGAGGATGTCCTGCAGATTCTGGGAGCTGCTTCGGTTAGAAGGCCCTGCTAGGGTCTCAAAAATAATGCTAACTGCTATTATCATATCTTTTTTGTTGTTGTTCCTGCCACCATTAACCTCTCTGGTGCTCTTTTCCCTCTTAAGTCTTTTATTCGGAGATTTCTTCAGTGGACAGAATTGTTGGATCCTACAAATTTGGTCGTTTCAATTGTAAGTATTTCCTTGTTTTCAGAAATAAGACATTTTACATTTTATTCTGAAATGTGAAGACTGCGTCCCTTTGAAAGCAGTTGAAACAGAATCCATATATATTGTTTTTGTTCCTTCTGAATGAGCTTGTTAGACTGGAAGGTTTAGAAACAAAAGCAGACAGATAACACCAGGGTTGGTACTGCCGCTTCAGAAGGGATCAAAATAAGTCCCTGGTAACAGGACAGACGAACAAAGGTGGTCACCGGCCTAGACCTAGGGTGCTGAAGGAGGGGTGCGGCAGGAAACTGGGGGAGAGTGTTGAGGCAAGGCCAGACAGAGGGGACTGTAAGCAAAGCCCAGGTGAGAGAGCAGGTCGTCCAGTCAGTGGGGGCTTTTAATTCAGGGAAGCAGGCAGGTCCTCAAGGGCCTTGTGTGTCCTTCAGATGGGAGGGGTTTGCATTTGGCCTACAGGGCGAGGTGGTGAGGTTTGTGTTCCAGAGGGTCTCTTTGGTCACCAGGTGGCGAGTAATGAGGGTTCGAACCAGTGTGGCCGAGGATTCAAGAGGAGGAGATACTGTATCAGCAGCCATAATCCTTCAGGGCTGGACCCACAGGGACACTCCCATCCTTGTGCTCAAGATGTTCCATGCTGCCTTGTTTTTTACAAAACAATCTGAATCCCCATCAGTAGGGAAATAGAGAAACATAACATGGTATATTCATACAGTGGAATACTAATAAAAGTGATGATCTAGTTATCAATGTATAATATTAAGTGGAAACAGTATATAATGCTAAATGGAAAACATGTCTACAGTGTTTAATGGAAAAAGCAGGATGCATAAAGTACATTTATGCAAATTACAATATAAAGACCCAATACTACATCTTTGTTTATAGATACATATATTCGTGTATATATAAGTATAAAAAAGTGGACTGGAAGTTAGTACCTTGAAATCATAATAGTGGTTATTTCTGATAGAATGGGGAGACGCGAAACTGGGGGTGATGGCTTTTGGGGAAAAAAATTGGAAGCAAATATGACTGAATGTTTACTGTTGTTAATTCTGGATGAGGGGATTATGAGTATGTACTCATTTTGTTGCCTTTTCTGTATTCTTTTCTCTCAAATTAAGAAAAGAATGAAGAGGGGCACCTGGGTGGCTCAGTCGTTAAGCGTCTGCCTTTGGCTCAGGTCATGATCCCAGGGTCCTGGGATCGAGTCCCACATTGGGCTCCCTGCTCCGCAGGAAGCCTGCTTCTCCCTCTCCCACTCCCCCTGCTTGTGTTCCCTCCGTCTGTCTCTCTGTCAAATAAATAAATAAGATATTAAAAAAAAAAAAAAAAAGAAGAGAGGAAGTAAGCCCGAATGGATCAGATGTGGGAGTGAGAGAGAGAAGGGACTTCTAGGTTTCTAACTTACAGAGCCAGGCAGATGGTGGGAGCACTCACAGAGACAACTGACATCAGCTGTCTGGGGGGAGGGGGAGGTGGCAGCCACCCGTGGGTCAAGCTGCTGGAGCTCTAAATCTGAGTGACACACAAGCACTATCCTCATGGAAACTCTGAAGGAGAACCTTGGCCACGAGTTGCACTGAAACCAGGTGTGAATGAACATGTGATTCCTAAATCATTTGGACAAACCTAAATCAGGTTGAGATCATTGCTTGATTTCTTTCTATCTGATTATAGGAAAAAATAGAAAAATCAAGGCAGCTATTGTTAACAAATGAAGATGCATCCATGCGTGACTTGGAGGACCAAAGGGTATGTCTCGTGTGCTGGGTTCAAGGTTGGATGTGGTTGCCTTCAGGAGATTTCTGCTTGCATGGTCTGAAATCAGGTGGGGTTTGGTCATCGTAAACACTGCCCAGGGGATCTGCTTTTCAAAACTGGGTTAGTTTTTTTAGATGTAATTAGAATTCGTTCTCATAAACCAGATTACTAGTAAGAGGAACTAGTATTGAGGAGGAAAAAAAATCCTAGGGTTCTTCCTATGCTCAGATATTAGTGGGGATTCTCTGTGGCTGATCCCTGCAGCCCATGGCAAACTCCAGAATTCAGGCAGGCCTCTGAAGTCAGAATCTGTTTCCCATTAGAGGCAGTGTTCCAGGTCAGGGTTATATTCCTGCCCCAAGACTTAAACCAAGTATTTGTTATCTATCTTGCTGTGTATGGGGCTTTCCAGAGCCCACAAGTATCAGCTCCGTGAAGCAGCCTGTGGAAAGTGCACATATTTATGTTGGTTTGATGTTTTTTTTTTTAAGAACTTTATGGGGCCTCTGGGCTCACAGCCTGGCTCTGAGGCAGGTGCCTTGGCTAATGGCGTGGTGTATCACCTGCAAACAACCTGCTCTTCTCTGAGCCAGGGGCAGGCTGGATTTAGGGACTCACCTGAGGGCTGTTAGGTGTTGGCCTTGAACCCTCTCCAAGGTAAGAGACTGAGGACTTTTTGGGGCACCTGGGTGGTTCAGTTGGTTAAGCGTCTGCCTTCAGCTCGGGTCAAGGTCCCAGGGTCCTGGGATTGAGCCCCGCATCAGGCTCCCTGCTCCTCGGGGGGTCTGCTTCTCCCTCTCCCTCTGCCTGCCACTCCCCCTGCTTGTGCTTTCTCTCTCTGATAAATAAATAAATAAAATCTTTTTAAAGACTGAGGACTTTTTAATGTTCTGGTCATTTTCTTTCTGTGGGTCATCTCATTGCTTATTGTCAGTTCATTTGTTTGATTCATTTGATTCATTTATTTTGACTTTTCTATCCGCATGGCATTGAACAGTTCTGGTCTTCACTCTTTTTTTGTTTTAAAGATTTTATTTATTTGACAGAGACACAGTGAGAGAGAGAACACAGGCAGGGGAGTGGGAGAGGGAGAAGCAGGCTCTCTGCCGAGCGGGGAGCCCGATGTGGGGCTTAATCCCAGGACCCTGGGATCACGACCTGAGCGGAAGGCAGACGCTTAACGACTGAGCCACCCAGGCGCCCCTGCTCTTCACTCTTGAAAAGGCAGAGTGAAGATGGCACCAGAAATGAGATTGGAGAAGAGATGGGTTTTTTTCCTCGTTTGCTGCCAATTTACCTTTAAAAGCTGTTACTTGTTTTTTTCTCTTTTCAGGTAAAAGACGCTTGGAAGAGAAGTCTCGTAAGTTTCAGTCCTTTCCTAATTTTTAGGCTCCTACAAAAACAAAGCCAAACATCAGACTAACCTTTGTGTTTACCTTTGCAAAGTCAACAGTTCATCCTGACAACAGCAAACTGATCCCTGTTCCTTTTCGACCTGCAGGTGAGCTGATTCTAATTTTCAGAAATGGGTTGGGAAAACATGGTTTGTTTGTAACAGTTCAGAAAGTCTGCCTGCCTTTTTTTTTCCCCCTGGAAAAATTTCTGATTATGAGTCTGGAAACCACAGCTTGCTTTATTTATTTATTTATTTATTAAGATTTTAATTAATTTATTTATTTGAAAGAGAGAGAATGAGAGAGAGAGCACATGAGATGGGGGAGGGTCAGAGGGAGAAACAGACTCCCCACCGAGCAGGGAGCCCGATGCGGGACTCGATCCCGGGACTCCAGGATCATGACCTGAGCCGAAGGCAGTCGCTTAACCAACTGAGCCACCCAGGCGCCCTGGAAACCACAGCTTTAAAAGGATGTTTGCATCAGAGTCTGGGTTTGATAGTGGAAAAGAGCAGGTTTGAGACCCAGAGCTGCGTCCAGTCCTGTGGAAAGATCTGGGGAGTTGGGGGTGAGGGCACAGGCTTGGGTCTGAAACCTGCTTTGTTCTGTCATCTCCCAAGAAATACACAATCATTTCGTTGATGGTTCCAGTACTTGTAACTCATAAGTGTTTTGGATTCCACGTAGTATTCTCTCTCTCTCAACTATGATGAGGGGAGGGGTGCCTGGGTGGCTCAGTCGGTTAAGCGTCTGCCTTCGGCTCAGGTCATGATCCTGGGGTCCTAGGATCTAGCCCCACGTTGGGCTCCCCGCTCAGTGGGAGCTTGCTTCTCCCTCTCCGCTGCTCCCCCTGCTTCTGTTCTCTCTCTCTCTCTCTCAAATAAATAACTAAAAATCTTAAAAAAAAAAATGTGATGAGGGGAATAAAACCCATGATTGTACAGGGCCCTTTTAACTATGAAATTCTCTCTGTTATAAACAAGAAACTGGAAACAACATGAATATCCAACAATTCGGACTATAGTTAAATAATTCATTAAAAAGATTGACGTACATCCTGTGTGCCAGTGTAGAAGAATGGATCTCCAGGAACTAGTATTAAGGAGAAAAAAGGCAAAGTGTAAAACAGCATATAGTGATCCTCTTTGTGTGAATAAGTATCGTGAGCACAAGAGAGTGTGGGAGTTTGCATCTATCCTGATAGATGTCATGAAGGAAAAACACTTGTTTCTCCTCTCGATGCTTCACTTTTTTTTTTTTAAGCCTATCCATGTGAGTTGGCATTTTTTAACTTTATTATTTTTAGTAATCTCTACACCCAATGTGAGGCTCAAACTCACAACCCACGAGATCAAGAGTTGTGTGCTCTGCTGACCGAGCCAGCCAGGTGCCCCTGAGGTTTCACTTCTGATACCAGATGTGCAGGCTTTTCCCACCCCCTTCAATTCTGTGACCCCCAGCAGTGTGTCCTACAGTTTTAATGGCAGTTCTGACATGTCAACCTGGAGGCGGCAGCAGACCCCCCAGGTGAAGGGCTCAGTCCTGCAAGACCACCCCCACTTCCAATGCCAGTTGAAAGTCCAGATTCTCTCCTGTACTTCTGACCAACCTGCTATAAATTGGAGGTTCTCACACCTCCCTCCTTGGGTTTGAAATTGCTAGAATGGCTCACAGAGCTCGGGGAGACAGTTTACTTACTAGGTTCCTGGTTTATTATTAAAGGGAACAGATGGAAGAGATGCACAGGGCAAGGGGTGCTGGGGAGGACGAAGTTTCCACACCCTCTCCAGCACCGCACATGCTCAGCAAGCCAGAAACGCTGTGAGAGTGGAGGCTCTATTCGTATGGTTGACTAAATCCTTGGCCACTGTGACTAGCCCTGCCTCCAGCCCCTTTCCCCGCCCAGGAGGTGGAGGCAGCGGGTGGGGCTGGAATGTCCAACCTCCTAATCCCCCAGCTGGTTCCCCTGGCAACCATTCCCCTGCTCGGAGGCTTTCCAAAAGTCCCCTTATTTTATTTTATTTTATTTTATTTTAAGATTTTATGTATTTATTTGACAGAGAGAGACACAGCGAGAGAGGGAACACAAGCAGGGGGAGTGGGAGAGGGAGAAGCAGGCTTCCCGCTGAGCAGGGAGCCCGATGTGGGGCTCGATCCCAGGACCCTGGGATCATGACCTGAGCCAAAGGCAGACGCTTAATGACTGAGCTACCCAGGCGCCCCCAAAAGTCCCCTTATTAACATCAACTCGGGGCGCCTGGGTGGCTCAGTGGTTAAGCATCGGCTCAGGTCATGATCCCAGGGTCCTGGGAATGAGCCCCACATGGGGCTCCCTGCTCAGGGGGAGCCTGCTTCTCCCTCTCCCACTCCCCCTGCTTGTGTTCCCTCTCTCAATGTCTGTCTCTCTCTGTCAAATAAATAAATAAATAAATAAATCTACCTTTAAAAAAAACAAAACAAAACAATATCAACTCAGGCGAGGTAGAAAGGGGCTTGCTAGGGTAAAAAAGACACCCATTTCACCTTTTTATTGCTGTTCTCAGGAAACTCCAAGGGTTTTAGGATCTCTGTGCTAAGAACAGGGATGAAGAGCAAATCCAGGTTTCTTTTTATAAATGACAGTATCATGAATGTGCTAAGTTCCTGGGGAAGGCTGAACAGGTTAACACCACTTGCCTCCAGTGAGAGGGACTGGGAAGGCCGGAGGGTGCCTCGTTAGGTCTTTCTGGACAGTGCTGACTGAAATGCTAGCTGTATGCACATAGTTATTATTAGGAAAAATAAAAGAATGAGTAAAGACTGTCCTTTGGCATCCGTGCCTTCAGGGTGCCAGAGGGAAGGTTCTTGGGTGGGCGACTCCCCTTTCTGGCTTCTTCCCTCTGCCTGGGCAGCGGCGGTCACTGATCCGCTTCTCTTCTTTGCCAGCTCTCCTACCTTTCACGGCGCCCATGGTGAGTGGGCTTGAGACCCCAGGTGTAGGAAGATGTCGCTTGTCTCCTAACCTCAGTGGTTTGTGACCTCCAACTCTGGACCCCTGTCCCGCCACGGCCTGGGAGACGGCTTTGGACTCCCCACCTCTGACCCTTGTCTGCTACTCGCATGCCTTCTCCCCGCCCGCACACTTACCCAGTCAGGTGCCTCTTGAAGGTCCCTGTGTCACAAGGTTTTCCTTTCTTGGGATGCCTCGGGTGTGCAGAGCACTTCCGAGGAGATGGACGACAGGCTCCCTGCCTCAAGCACACAGAATAGTCCATTACCTTCTCTCCCTGAAGCCTCCTCCCCCATACACGCCCTCACTTGGGACCTGGAACTGCCCCCCAGCGAGGCGGTCCCACCTTGACTCTCACGAGGTGCTCTCACAAAGGGACAGCCTTCCTCCGTCACTTCCTCCACACCTGCCCTGTGTCTGTGTCCACTCGTGAGTGTGTACTCCTCAGCTGCCCTGCCGCATCGCACATCTTGGAAGCAGGGACCACTGTGAGACACCCCCCGCCCCCTCCGGCTGTCCTCAATGTCCTGTGGGTGTTTGCTGAGCATTGCTCACACCGCCCGGTAGCCTCCTTCTCCCAGCGCCCGGGGAGAGTGGGGTGCTCAGCGCAGTGTCTCCCCTGGGAAGTTCTTTGCCCCCACCCTCCAGCAAGTTCTCCCTCCCCTTCAAAAACTTAAAACTCTGCTTTATTTTCTTAAAAGATATTTTTCTCGATGCTGTCAGTAAAAAGTCTCAAGTCCCTGATTTTACCTCAGGTAAAAACTATTTCTATTTCATGATTCCTGAGTTCTGTTGTGCTCGAATGACCATAGTGTGTGATCTACGTGCCTGTCTTTCTACAGATTTCCTTTTATACCTACACTACAGCGTTCAACATTGTTAATGGAAACGCAAGTTATGTGAGTATTATGAGGCCCAGGGGATATGCAATTCTGTGTTACTTCTTTTGGAGTTTGTTTGTTTTAATAATCCTTCCTGGGTAAAACCGTGGTGTTTGCTGAATACATACTTTTGTTTCTTCCTTAGAATCGTCGCCTACATGAGAGTGTGTTACTAGGGACAGGAGTGATTGCCTCTTCCTCCTTCTTTGGAGTGGGTATTTTTAAAAATCTATCAAATCGGGGCGCCTGGGTGGCTCAGATGGTTAAGCGGCTGCCTTCAGCTCGGGTCGTGGTCCCGGAGTCCTGGGATCGAGACTCCCCTGCTCGGCGGGGAGTCTGCTTCTCCCTTTGACCCTCTTCCCTCTCATGCTCTCTATCACTCATTCTCTCTCAAATAAATAAATAAAATCTTAAAAAAAATAAAAATCTATCAAATCTTTTTTATTCCTCAGAACAAAAGAAACTATTCTGAATTACAAATTTGTTTCAAGTTAAACAATTTAGAAAGTATGGCTAAGGGGCGCCTGGGTAGCTCAGTTGGTTAAGCGTCTGCCTTCGGCTCAGGTCATGATCCCAGGGTCCTGGGATCGAGCCCCGCATTGGGCTCCCTGCTCAGCGGGAAGCCTGCTTCTCCCTCCCCCTCTGCTGCTCCCCCTGCTTGGGCTCTCCTCCTCTCTGTGTCAAAAAAATAAATAAAATCTTTAAAGAAAGAAAGAAAGTATGGCTAAGAGATAAGAAGGGCAATGGTCACCTGTAATCCCATCACCCCCTAAGGAAGCATACGAGTACCCCAAGTTTCTAGGCATATACTTAGTATTCTTACCTTTTTAAAAACTTTACTTAGGCTACAGGAACACGTTATACAAGTTGTGTATTGCCTGGGATGTCAGGACACTGATGGTTAAAAATATAGACATTAGAGTCAGATAAGCCGGGTTGGCCTCCTGGCTCAAATTCTTAGCAGCTCTGAGACTCCGGGCAAGTTACCTCCCTAAGTCTCCGTGTGTGCCTCTGATGATCGGGCGAACACCTCAGTGTTGCAAGAATTAAAAAATAACACACGGAGCTCTTGTGGTGGCCTGACCTGGGATAGGAACTAGGTTGACGCCAGCTCTGTGCTACTGAGTGTGTTCAGTTGACTTTGCTTCCTTTGCAATGACGAGTTTTCTCTCTTCTTCTAGTTATTCCCTCGTTTGCTCCAGATGCGGCTGAATCACGTTCTGTTGAAAAAAGCCCTTCCCGTCGTCATTCTCAGTAAGCAGGAAGCATGTGATCTTTGTGGTCCTTGAGTCTCCCTACATCTTCAGGGACAGCCCAGTCCCTTGGCCACATGGTGACTGTTGACAGCTGCTGTTTGCAGCTTCCCGGGGCCTCCAGGTCCACGTTAGGTCCTTGGTCCTTGCTCTGTCGCTCTGCTTTCCATTGTCAAAGGGTGAACACGAGCCCGGGAACACAAACTCGCTCTAAAGACGGTGCCAGCCCTCTGCATGTTTAATTTCACTTCGTCCTGCCAAAAACGTGTGGGTAGCAATGTCATTATTCCATTTCCAGATAGGGAAGCTGAGGCAGGGGCACTTGATGGAACTGTCCTAGGGTCACCCACGGAGGAGGCGGCAGCCTGGGGGGCTCCAATCTGGTGGGCCAACTCCGGTGGAAGTGACAGAGATACTATACTAGCCAACTGTTTGAAGTTTGCCAGCCTGCAAGTTCAGTAGTTCACACTCCACATTTGAGTTTGGAAATCGTAACAGTTTGAAGAGTTGGCAGAATGATCTCAGTGGTAAAATCGGGGAGAACGTTATAGAAGCCTGGTCAGACCAGCTAAAGCAAAGAAGGGGGCTGTATTTCAAGGACCCAGGGATTTGTCCTGGAATCCCGTCGGGGGGGCTGGAGCCTGGCCGGACCCAGGACTAGGAGGCCAGCGATTCTGACCCAGCTCTGCAGCCCCCGGACAGAGCGAGATTGGCCAGCACATGCCGGCTGACCACTTGAGGGTCGGGGCAGCCTAGCCATCGGAGAAAGATGCTTGACACCAGAAAAGATGTTCCTTCGCTGGACCAAACTCACCCTCTGTTGTGCATTTTCTTCTTCACATACACAGCCCACATCAGTGCAATGAATGTTGTCGCAGCCCGAAGTCTGGAGCCCATTCGAGGCATTGAAGTCATGGATAAGGAAGGCAATGTCATGGGCTATTCCAGAAAAGCCGGGACAAAGGTAAGGGGACGCTATGGAAAGCAGGCTTGCCTTTTGGGGAGAGCATGGAATTGTCTGAGAGCTGGGAACAAAGTCCTGTCTCCCTTCGACCTTTCCCTACCCTGTGTTCCCTCACTATGCAGAGGGGGCAGTTTTACATTTTGCACCACGATGTTTAAAAGATGGTGCACTAGGGGCGCATGGGTGGCTCAGTTGTTAGGCGTCCCAGGGTCCTGGGATCAAGCCCCGCATCGGGCTCCCTGCTCGGTGGGAAGCCTGCTACTTCCTCTCCCGCTCCCCCTGCTTGTGCTCCCTCTCTCGCTCGCTCTCTCTGTCAAATAAATAAATAAAATCTTTAAAAAAAAAAAAAAGATGGTGCATTAGTCTGGGTTCTCCAGAGAAACAGAACCAATAGGAGATTGATTGATTGATTGATTGTAATTGGCTCATGCAATTGTAGGGCTCGTAGGCTAGTCAAGTGTTGGCCCCATCTGCAGGCTAGAAACTCAGGAGCCCATGCTGTGGTCTTCAGGCAGAATTTCTTCTTTGGGAAAACCTTCTAGATTTTGCTCTCAGGGTTTTCCAACTGATTAAATGAGGCCCATTCACACTATGGAAGGTAATCTTATTTAAAGTCAACTGATTGTAGATGTTAGCCACATCTACATGGCAGCACAGCAGTTTGTGTTTGATCAAATTTCTGGGTGCTCTAGCCTAACCAGATTGACACGTATGACTGACCGCCACCAATGGGCCTCCGCCAAATGCGAGGCCGCTCTCTGAGGGTGAGATCCTGTTCTTCCAGCTCAGCATCCGCCCCACAGGCTGCTCTGTGCTTGTGGAAGTCAGTGGAGTCCCTCTCTGGGTTTAAGAGAAACGTTCCTTTTCCACCTCACAGCAGATTTTCTTACAGTCTTCATCTTTAAGGACCAGTTTGCTATCAAGAATGGCCAGGGGCGCCTGGGTGGCTCAGTGGTTTAAGTGTCTGCCTTCAGCTCAGGCCATGATCCTGGGGTCTTGGGATCCAGCCCCGTCTGACTCCCTGCTCAGCGGGGAGCCTGCTTCTCCCCTTCTCTCTCCCTCTGCCTCTCCCCCTGCTTGTGCTTGCACGTGAGTTCTCTCTCAAATAAATAAAATCTTTTTTTTTAAATATTTATTTATTTGACAGAGAGAGAGCACAAGCAGGGAAGTGGCAGGCAGAGGGAGAAGCAGGCTTCTCGCTGAGCAGGGAGCCTGATGGGGGGCTCGATCCCAGGACCCTGGGATCATGACCTGAGCTGAAGGCAGCTGCTTAACTGAGCCACCCAGGCGCCCCAATAAATAAAATCTTAAAAAAAATGGCCTGAGGAAATCCAGTGCTCTAAGCAGAATGCCTCTAACAGGCCTGAATTTTTAATAAGGTTTATTATTAAATAGTTTATTATTTTGATCAATTCAGTACAATGGCATCTGTTAACAGTCAGCTTAACAAAACTGGAACAACCTAGGGTGGTCTTGTTTGGGGTGTGGACTTTTTTAATGATACTTTTTCAGCAGGTGAGATTTTTTTTTTTTGGTTTCTGTGAAGTGACGTTAGCTAAAGAATGGAATGTGAGGCAGTTGTATGCAAATGGCATGAGGAACAGCACGGAACCGCTTTTCACAGTGTCTGCCTCCGAGGGGCCTGCCTTCGGGACATCTCCTGCCCCATGTGTTGGCAGGTTAGAAAAGATGGCTGCTCGTTCAGTCAGTAAATACATCATTGTTTCGCTCACAAAGCATATTCCGCTAAACCCTATCTGCGAGTCACAAAGCTGGATTATAAACCATCACATGTGTGCCACCGGATTCCTGCCAGACCATTTATTCAGTGGCATGTCTGAAAATAGTGGCCACCTTCCTAAATGAATTATAGTAGAGACACAGTGATTACAGATAAGGGGAGAAGTAGCTGCCAAAAATAAAATAGCTCGCTTTTGAAATAAAGGTTTTGTGCCTAAGAGCCACCCTAATGAGACCTTTTTATTGAGAGATAATTTATGTACTATAAAATTATCCCTTTGTGAGAGTATAGTTTGATGAGTTTTAGTAAATGTAAGCAGTTATGCAGCTGTCACCACGGTCCAAATTTAGAACGTATTCATCCTAAAAATTTCCCTCGTGCCCACTGAGTCACTCCCTTCGCCCACCCCCCGGCCCCAGAGAAACACTGATTTGCTTTATGTATTCATAGTTTTGACTTTTCAGAAATTTCATGTAAGTGACTCGTACAAGTGTTTTTTATGTCGCACTCCTTTCACTTCTGAGGTTCACCCACCTGTACCGTGTACCTACCAACAGTCTGTTGCTTTTTACTGCCCAGCAGCGTTGCATGTATGGATGTACCGACCACATCTGCGTATCCCTTCCCCGGGCCGGGGGTATCTGGACTGTGTCCAGTCTGGGGCTGTTCTGCATAATGCTGCTCTGGACGTGCACAGGTCTTCATGTGGACGTCAGTTTGCGTTTCCCCTCAGCTCCCTTTACCTGCAGGGTGTTAGGGCTGCTGTGAACTGTGCACACAGCTGAAGAGAAAAGTGAGAGCAGGTGTTTTAATTGGTGAGTAGCCCCGCCGCACGAGGCGTCTGACCAGGTGCTGGGCTAGGCTCAGCTTGGCCACGGCCACGCCCTCAGCCGCTCGGCCACGCCCTCAGCCGCAGGCTCGCTTCTCTCTGGGAGGCCCGAGTGCGCAGCCTCTCGGGAGAGGCGGCCTCGGGCCCCGCGAGCTGTCTGGATATCTAGTCCGTCTCTCCGGGAGAAACTTCCATTTTCTTTTCTTTTTTTTTTTAAAGATTTTATTTCTTTATTTGACAGAGAGAGACACAGCGGGAGAGGGAACACAAGCAGGGGGAGTGGGAGAGGGAGAAGCAGGCCTCCCGATGCGGGGCTCGATCCCAGGAGGCTGGGATCGGGACCTGAGCCGAAGGCAGACGCCTAACGACTGAGCCACCCAGGCGCCCCGAAACTTCCATTTTCTGCATGAAGGCCGAGTTAGGGTAAAAGAAAGATTTGATGCTCTGCTTTTTTTTTTTCTTTCCTGTTTTAAGTTTATCTTTGAAGAACAGAGTCTGCAACTGTGCGTAAGCATAAGCATTCTTTCATCATTTCCGTCACCAGTCTATTGTCTTTGGCTAAAATTTCAGAAAGTACGCAACCAGCAGTATCTGATTGTAATAGGGCACCTTTGATCAGATTTCAGGGGCCAAAACGTACTGTTTTCCCTTGGCTGGGCCCGGTGCCCCTCAGGACGGGTGTCCGGTTCGAACACAGCCGGACAGCCCCACTGAATCACACCACCCTCAGCAGCCACTTTTCTCTTACTTAAGTGGAGCGGTTTTATTTTATATTCCTGAAAGTTTATTTATTTTAAAGATTTTATTCATTTTATTTGAGAGCGCACGCGTGAGAGCCACACGAGGTGGGGGGAGGGGCAGAGGGAGAGGGAGACGCAGGCTTCCCGCTGAGCAGGGAGCCCGTCGCGGGGCTCGATCCCAGGACCCGGAGATCAAGACCTGAGTCAAAGGCAGACACGTCACCGACGGAGCCCCCCAGGCGCCCCCTAAAGTGTATTTTTTAAGAGCTACCCTCCTTGGCCCCTCTGTCCCCATGGGGAAAGGCGTTCCCTGCAGAGGAATCGGATGAGCTGAGTCAGTGTAAGAAGCAGAGAGCAGGGCTGCCGAGCAGGGGAGAGGAGCCCCGAAGGCAGGCTGTAGCCCCGTCCTAGGAAGCCAAAAGTGGAAGAGAGGGTTGGAAGGGGCTGGTGGAGTGTGTGCCTATTCATCTCGTGCACAGCAGTGCTGTATGGAGAGTTGTAACTTACCCAGGGCTTGGCTTCTGAAGTTAACATGTGAGTGTCATCTATGGTCAGGATTTCCCTTGAGAGTCTCTCTTACATTGCCCTTGAGTACGTGTGGCTTTGTGCATATAACCCATATGGTCAATGACATGTCTAAATGCTCAATATGTAGAGTAGTGTGTGTTATAGGACAGATGACAAAACGTTATAAGCTATGCATGTTTGTGCAAAGTAAGATTTTATAGCACACTTAATGACAAGCAAAAGGTGGGTGCATATAGGTGCATGATCCATGTGGGTGTGATGCCACACCAGTGCGCTCTGAGCTGGACTTCTGGAGGGTTCCTCCACTCGAAGGGGTAACTGGGGAGCTGCTCAGGATCAGGAGGCCAGTGTCAGATTCCTGGATGGAAAGGAAAACAAGCAGCAGTCCTCAGTGGCAAATCCAGCGTTCCCACTGAGGGAACGATTTTTCTATAAGCTGCCTTTGCTTGTACTCAGTGATGGGGTGGTTGGCAGACCGATGGGGAGACCACGGTGGAGTCAGCGGGAGGTAAGTCCCAGCACCAAGCCCAGCCGTCCTCCAGCTCTGTGCATGGAGGGGCTGCCTCCACCTCTCTATGCGCAGTATTTTTCTAAGTGAGAGAGGAGAGCTGCTGTTTGCTCGTCTCTGTCTTGAGTGGCAGGATCCCTGGAAATGGTCTAACTCCATGTGCTAAGATGCTTCCTTTCCATTTCTGCTAGGCCGTTAAAGATACAGCAACATCCAGAGTAGTGCTGTTTGGGACCTCAGCTTTCATCCCTGAAGTCTTCTCGCACTTTTTTGTAAGGTAAGATGCATGCTCATCTCCCCAGGTAGGAATAAACATTCGCCACTCAAAATCCTTACAAAACTTGTCAAACGCTGAACCTGATGGGAGGGATAGGAAGGGATAGATAGGGATTGTTCAGTTGTCTTCCCACTAAACTCTCTTTGTCACAGCTTAGACAGTAGGATTGATTTGGGGGCAGGCGTGGAAATCCAGATGTGCACGTTCCTCAACCCTGGTCTCTCGCCCAGGCCCTGTCTTCAGTTGGCTTTGTGTTCCCGGGCATGTCCCAGCACCTGCTGAGGCATGGCCCCTCGGGTCTTGAACACCGAGCTGAGGTGATTTGCAGGTTCTCCCAGCTCCGATGTGCTGTGAGGATTGCTCTAGCCTGTCTTCCTCCTTCATGGCAAGCATGTGTTAAGTTAGCCTAAATGGCCCAGATTTAGTGGACCATCATCCCTTCTGAGAAGCAAGAAGTGGCCTAATTAGGAGGAAGGCCTAGGGACCAGCTGGTGTGAGAAACCCAACATGCAGTGGCTTAGGCCAGAAGGCAGATGTGTTGGTTTAGATCCTCGCTGCGGGCGGGGGGCTCATGTAGCCTGTGGTCGCCGAGCAGAAGCTCTTCTCCTCCTCATCTTCATGGTGTCCGCTTCCTCTATCCTGCCACACACTGGCTTCTTCGTGTTGCTGAGGGACATGACTGCCAACACCTCCCAGCTCATATCCTCCAAGTGTCCTGATGAGGGATGAAAAACACAGTAAACCCCAGCGAAGGCAGAGAATGTCTTCCACTCAGTTCCCAGACTCCCAGGGAGGGATTCCGCTGGCCCAGATGGGGTCACCTGAACCAATCCCCTCTGTCCAGTGTGGCGAGCTAGGAAGCCTTTGTTAGGAACCCGTAAGGATCGCATTTTCAAGAAATAGCAGCATGCTGCTTAGAGCCAAGTGTTACTTCCCGTGGTCCACCGGTTGGATGGGGGTGGAGACTTCTGCTGGCCCAGGCTCTTCCTAGACCACTCTGGCTGGGTCAGAGCTGGGGCGCCTTTGGAAGCTGGGGTCCTCCAGTCTGTCCCTTAGAGCCCACATTGAGGCACCGGCTACCTGGGGGGAGAGATGGCACTCATTTCCCAGTGGCCCCCACAGCCACAACAGTATCCATGCTGGAGTGACCTCGGTTGGCTCTTCTGACTCAGCCCTTGCATCCTGCTTGTGAAGAAACCCAAGGCTCAGAACGGGGAAGTGACTCGCCCAAGACACCTGGTCTATCGGTGCAGACCCCAGCCAGACCCGGGACCCTGGGTCTCTGACTCCCAGGCTGGGCTTCTTTGCATCTTCCCTCGCTGTCTCTCACACCCTCAGAGGTCAGGGGCAGAATGTCCCATCCGTGTCAGCAGAGCCCAGCATCTAGAATCTGGCCTCTCACTCTTGAGCCATGGGATTTTGGACTTAACCAGGCAGTGGCTGTGTCCTCGTTTGTGTGAAGGGGGTGATGATAGCACGGACCTCAAAAGGGTTGTGGGGGATCAAAAGGGCAGTGCCCGTGAAGTTCTTAACCGCGGGCCTGACGCACAGTGAGGCTGCTGGTATCACATGTTTGTGGGTGAGGGGAACCAGGGCGTGGGCCAGCAGCTGCACACCAGACTGTCCGAGCCGAGGGCCAGCCTCTAAAAATGCCTGGTAACCTTGTCTCTTACAGGACCCAGTTTTTCCGGCAATATCCATGGTCATTATGGACCTTCAAGCTGTCTTGTACCGTCTTAGTAATGGGACTGATGGTGCCGGTTTCTTTTAGTATGTTCCCACAAATTGAACGGGTAAGTGTCCCCTCTTCAAATCTCTCAAAAAAACAAAAAACAAAAACTCAAAACCCTTTTTCTTCTCCTTGTTGTAAGAGTAAGATAAATACTTCTAAAAAATCTGCAAAGTTTTCAAAAGTTATAAAAATAACTTTATTTAATCCCACCCCTCAGATCACTTCCACAGTTTTGGATTCTGTTTTTCTTAGTGGTATATCAGAAGCATTTTTCTGGGACATTTAAAAACCTTTGAGATATTTTAAATACTTCCTAATATTCCATAGTGATGCCCCATGCAATGGAACTTTCTGCAGTGATGGACATGTTTTAGCTGTGTGCTCACATGGCAGCCACTAGCCACGAATGGCTGTTGAGCACCTGCCATGTGGCTGACATGACTGAGGAACTGAATTTTTACTTTAAGTTGTGTACCCACGTGAAGCTAATGATTACTGTGTTAGTGCAGTTGTATCAACTGGGATATATTCTAATTTATGATGAGTCAGACGACCTAGATTCAGATTCCCACCTCCTCCATGACCTTGGTCAGTCTGCTTAAATTCTCTGAGATTCAGTTTCCATATCTGTTAAAGAGAATTGACGATAGTAGTATCTCTGCAAAGGGTTGTTGCTGCTGTTGAGGACATTGCTGATGTAATAGATATTACTGATTTCTGGCATTTCTTAGCTGGAAATTTTAAATGCTTGTTTCTGCCACTGAAGTTAAAAATCAGTGATGTCTATAAAAGTATTTAAATTTCTGGAATGAACTTGTTCCAAACCGAACTTATGTAATTTTAGGTCCACAGAATCATTAACTCGGGCAACTCTGCTAGCACATAAGAGAAACTGGAAGTTATCTTAGGTTGCTGAACTCTGAGGGTGCTGAGGGACAGAATGGGGTGGGCAGCTTCTCATTAAAATAAAATGTTAGAAAATATTTTTAACCTTCCCAGGCCCACCTATTAGAACATGGTTTGTCGCGGTAAGATTACAGTAACAGTGAACCCTTTTGCGAATACTTACTTTGGATTGCACTGGTACTCAGAGTGAAGCAGGTGGCTGATCTGCAGGTTAGGTCATTGACAAAAGTCTTTAAATCCTGGGGGAATTCCTGCTGCCCTGCTTCCTTGATCTCACTTCCCCCTGGGCTCTTGGATTCAGTCCACACACACTTACAGAGGGCCTCCCCTGGCGGACTGGAAGTAAGGAGCTGGGGTCAGCCCTGAGTAAACGGGGTCTTGCCCTTGAGTAGCTCTGAGAAAGCAATGGCATGTGGCCACCACGGGCTTTGATGTGGGGACCTAGGGGGAGGAGGAACCACAGAGCCCGGGAATCCTGACCTGGCTGAGGGTGGGGGTGGTGTGCTTTAAGAAGTCCAAGGGAAGAATCTTTTGCAGAGCTCCCTTTGCTGGCATGGGGGAGTCATAATCTAGAATCAACGAGTTTGTGGTTAGGTAATTGGGTATCTTTCTAGTTTGTCTTGTATGTGTCATCATGGGTCGTGGGATTCACTTTTGCGATGTTAGGAGTAACTCGGTTCCTTACTCTGTGATAGCATTTTGGTCCTTGGCTCGTGGCTGCTTTCTCTGGCACGAGGTCACCCTTCTTATGGAAAGGCAAGATCCAGGACAGCCTGCCAGTGGCCAGAGCAACGCTCTCCGCTTCGCCGCCGCCACTCTCGCCGGCCTCCTTGAGTCAGGTGGCCACTAGACTTAAAGTGACAGGGCTGAATGCATGTGTTTGGGTCATCGGGCCAGTGAGGGGGAGACCCCCGCACACAGGTAGCCGCAGACACAGTGGGATTGCGGGGGACACAGACAAGCACCGGGGCAGTGTGGGCACGACAGAGGCAGCGTTGACAGTCGGGGGCTGGGGGCAGTGGCCGGGGAGGCTAACAAGTGTAACTTCTGTGTATCCAGCACCTTCTGTGTCCTGGGGACTCTGCCAAGCAGTCTCTCGTCTTCATTTGAAGACAACGTTCATTTTCCCATTTTACAGACGAGGAGCCTGGGGCACGGGAGAAGATGAGATTCCCCTGTGGGTCGTGCGGCTGTGGAGTGGCGAGGCCAGCTGGTGAAGGACCTCACGGGCCCCCCACGGTGATAGACGATGGAGGAGAGGTTTCAAGGGGGGAGTGGCTTAGTCGGGTTGTATTTCAGAAATATCACCCTTTGGATGCCAGGCTGTCGGTGGGGCCAGTCCTGGAGGCTGGGAGGACAGTTGAGGGGCTGTAGAAGTTTTCTGGCTGGAGGTGATGGGGGATTTGGAGTAAGTCCATGGTAGTCGGTTAGAGAGACAGAGTTGAATCGGACAAGTTAGAACCTGTGAGCATTCAGACGGGGGGAAGTGAAGAGAAAGGGACCGGGGAGGGGGGGCACCCATATGTGTGGTTTCGCTTTAATGCCAGTAGCCAGGGGGGAGGAAAGAAAGGGCTCTATATTAACTAGGATTACATTTGGTTGGAACTGAGATCAGAATAACAGTGACCTTAACAAGGTGAAGGTTTATTTCTCCTTCACATAAAAGTGTGGGTGTCATAAGCACGCTACGCAGGTGCACACACGAGGTGTGCCTTTGCACAACGTCAGCTTGATTCAGTCATAAAGCAGAGTTAATCACAATGATAAAGCAGGTTCAGGATTCCAAACTCATTGACATTTCACCAGGTGATAAAACTTGGCTCCTTACACAGCACACCGAGCAGAACATAAGACAAGCCACACAACAAACAAGATAACAGAAGGGTGTAGGAAGTTAACGAACCAAACGCCAAGGCAGTCTGTGGATGCGCAGTTGACACGAGGCCCCGGTCTGGTCCGGGTCAGCTCCTCGGCACTTGCTGCTTCTGATGTTCAAGCAGGGAAGGATCTCCGTTCTGTTCAGAGATCTGGCAGAGCCTTCGGCAGCAGACGCCTTTTTTAAGTGGTCAGACATAGAGGGGTCACGTTTGAAGAGTCTAACAGCTTGCTGCAAAAATTCTCCCCTTTTATTTTTTTATTTTTTATTTATTTTTTTTAAAGATTTTATTTATTTGAGAGAGAGAGAATGAGAGATAGAGAGCACGAGAGGGAAGAGGGTCAGAGAAGCAGACTCCCTGCTGAGCAGGGAGCCCGATGTGGAACTCCATCCTGGGACTCCAGGGTCATGACCTGAGCCGAAGGCAGTCGCTTAACCGAGCCACCCAGGTGCCCCCCAAATTCTCCCCTTTTAAAAGGGATTTAATTGGGAAGCACCTGGGTGGCTCAGTCGGTTAAGCTTCTGACTTGTGAGAGCAAGCCCAGCACTGGGCGTGGAGCCTGCTCAAGATTCTTTCCCTCTGCCCCCCACCTCCCGCTCACGTGCTGTCTTTCTCAAATAAATGAATGGATGGATGGATGGATGGATTCATTCGGTCCTGGGCCCCTGTAGATCTCCTCTGCTTCTGCTTGTTACCAGTTCTGGGGTGTCAGCTGATGCTGGTCCCCGCAATACCTCGTAGCTGGTATGTTTAGCCTCGTACCTTTAATTGCTTGCATCGCCTCACAGGCTCCCATTTGACATGAGAGACTCCATTTTGCTCTCTACAGTGAGGTAGCCAGCCCAGTAAGGAAGCTATGTGTCATAGAGTCCCCAGGGGGCTAATTCCTTCCAGCTCAGCAGGCCACCATCCCTAGGGTTGGGCCCCATCTTCAGGGTGCAAGATGGCACCTTCCTCATTCCACTTGACCAGGTGGCACTTCCACTTCTGGCGCATTGGCCAGAACTTAGTCATGTGGCAAAAGCCTTAGTGCAAGGGAAGCTGGGGAATGAGGTCTTATTCTGGACCTACTTAAAATTCTGCTGCCGTAGAAGAGAGCAGGTGGGGCAGATGCTACAGGTTTTTGCAGAAAGGGTAATGTGTCACATATGGAAATAATGCTTACTTACTAGAAAGTAAACATGACTGAAAGGCCATGGGGAAATTAGGGAAAGAAGAGAATTGCCAGCTGATCCAGGAAGGCTGCATGGAAGAGGGAAGCTTTGGACATGGATGGATTTGAACAGGCAGAGATCAGGGAGGGAAGAGGGCATTCCAAGTGGGGGGTATAGGAGAGCTGAGGGATCCAAGTGTAGCTGGGCACATGTGGCTGAGTGTGACTGGCAAGACGCTTGGGGCCAGATGACAGGATGCGCACGGCCAGCCTGAGGAAGCAGGCTGTACTCTGAAGGCAGCAGGTGGGTCCTGCAAGGCTTGCAGGGGCTCTCAGGGGCCAGAGTAGAGGCAGGAAATGGAGTCCATCTAGCCTCTTGAGCCTCTCCCCACCAGCAGCAAAGTAAGTCTTAGCATTTGCTGGACCTTGAAAATACCTTGTTGATCCAAGGTGGACCCAGAGGCGCCTGAATGGTGGTCCTGAGCCAGTGGGGGCCCTGCCTCCTTGTCTGGCCTAGGGTGGCCAGCTCTGCTTGTCGAGAAATCCCGAGACCAGGATATTCTTCTCAGACATACCACAGGCTGCAGCGACCTTCTGGTCTGGAAATTCAAGGACCTTAACAGGAAAGCTTGTCCCCCTGCAAAACTCCTTTTCGGATAAGCCGCCCCTGCCTGCCACTCTCAGCTAGTACTTCTGCCCCCTTGCTAGGCTAGAAATGTGGCTGGGTATTAGGGGACTGTTGTTGATTTTGTTAGGTGTGATGACAGCAGAGCAGTTACATAACAAAGTCTTTATCTTTTGGAATTTCCCACTGAAGTATTTGTAGGTAAAATGGCAGATCTGAGAGTTGCCTTCAGATACTCCAGAAAATACCCCCAAGCTGGGTATGCTGGATGAAAGAAGACTGGCAGATTGTTAATAAACTGGAGTGATGAGTATATGAGGGCTCATTATATTCTTTCTGCATTTGTTCATATTTAAAATTCTCCATAACAAAGTGTTTCGGAAGTCATGTGTTGTGCAATAGATTGGACATCACTGAAAAAAGTGGGACTGCGAAACAGATGCTTTCTGAATTTTTTTTTTAAACTTTAAAGGCAAGGAAAGTCTTAAAAAAAAAAATGAAGAGTTTGACTCTGTTTTTCAGATACAGTGCAGTGAACTTGAAAAGGAAATTCAGTCCGCAACAGAAGAAACAGAACTCTTCTATAACAGAGGGGTGTAGGAATGTGTTGTTTTCGGTGAATTTGGTTGGTTCCTGCTTGAACACCTTCCTCTCTGCTCGAGGTGTCCGATTGGAGAACTCTGCGGGAGGTCTGGAACCCGAGGTGTCTGCGCCCACAGGTTGCCTTACAATTACACAGGCCACGGCCGTTTCAAGGCTGGTGCCTGGGCTTTCGAGCCTGGATGGAAGAAGGGAAGAGAAAGGAGAGGCCGTCCTGTCTGACCCACCCCCATGGGGCTGCCGAAAGAACGGCTGATAGAAGAGTCCATTTTTATTTTCTGTGTTCATCAGCCTCTGAAGGACACTGTGAAATGACTAATAAACTTACCAAAAGTTGAGTGTTCGAAAAAAATCAAGAAGGGTCCACCATGCCCAGGGCCCGGGCATTCCACTGGTGGCCCATCTCAAGGTGAACAGGAACCTCTGGTGAGCACTAAAGGCCTCCGAGCCCCAAAGCCACCCTGTCTCCCTCCTCAGCTTCCTCCCGTTTCGGACTGCTTCACATCTCTGCCCTCAGCCACCCATCTCCTCCTCTGCCCCCACCGGTCCGTGACCCTGCCTCCTTCGCGGTGAAAACCAAAAACGACTGGCCGGCAACAGAGCCTCCTGGCACCAAATCTGCAGGCCTCTTGGCACCGCCCCCCTCCCGGCCCCCAGCCTTCCCGCCTCCTTGCAAGGCCAGCTGTGCCCTCGGCTCTGGGCCCCTCCGGCCGGATCCCCTCCGGGCCTGGCTCTGCAGTTGCCCGGCCTCCTGGCCTCCTCCCTCCTCTGTAGTCCGTGAGTCACCAGCCTTATTAGACAAGCAAACAACCTTCGAGAGCCAAATTTGGTCAAAGATTGTCTCCCCTCACCCTTTCCACCCCGCCTTCCACTCTGCTAAAACTGCTCTCCTCCGGGCCCCACCCAGACGCTCGACCGCCACTCTGCTGGGTGCTCAGACCCAGCCCTGGGCTTGCTGCCCTGAGCCACAGGCCCCTGTCCTGCTGCACCGGGCGCTCCGCCATCCACATAGCCACTTGAGGCCATCTTTTCCTCCCAATCTCAGAAAATGGCACCGCCACGTAACATCACCCAAGAGCACTGGTGTCACCCTTACTCCTCCCCTCCCGAGGCCTTTCATAGCTGAGCCCCAAGGTGTCAGGTCTCTAAGCCCCTTTCCCAAGCCTGCCCAGTCCAACAGCATCCCCTGTTGGTATTCCTCTCTCATCTCCTCCGGCTCCTCCAATCCGTGCCCCGGCCTGCTCTGACAGACACCTGCGTAAAAGCCTTAGCTGGCCTCCCAGTGCATTAGTTCAAGTCCAGATTCCCTGCCAGGCAAAAGCCTTAACCTCCCTCATCTCTTGCCACTCCTTTTCCTCACTCGGACCAATACCCCGTTCCTCATATGGACTATGGTCTTTCCTTCCTGGACCTTCATATCAGCTGTCCCCTGCCAGGCTAACTCTTGCTTATGCATCAGGTCTGACTTAGACATCACTCCCTCCAGGAAGCCTTCCAGGATTCACAGTGCTGAATTAGGTGCCCCTTCTATGTGCTCCCATAGCACTCATACCGTGTCTAGCACTTGCCGCACTGCAGCAGAAGAGCCTGCTTGTTGTCCCTGCACCCCCGTAAACTGTGTGCCTCGAGAGCAGGAAGTGTGTCTGGTGCATCAGGGAAGCCCCAGGATACAACACCGTGCACGGCACAGTAGACACCCAAACATTGGCATACTGGAGGAATGTTTCCAACATACCCTGCCCTAAATCATTAAGGAATCTATCTGTGGCTTTCAGGGTCCCATAGGTTATCTTCAAATTTGGTTAAAAGGGTTTCACAACAGCCTACAAGAACAAAAAGTCAGTTAAAAAAAAAAAAAGTTCAACCAGGGCGCCTGGGTGGCTCAGTCGGTCAAGCGTCTGACTCTTGATCTCAGCTCAGGTCTTGATCTCAGGGTGGTGAGTTCAAGCCCTGCGTTGAGCTCCACGCTGGGTATGGAGCCTACTTAAAAAAAAAAAAGTTGCACCAGATGGCTCAGTACAGCCACAGGCGTACACTAAACAAAAAGAACAAAACTTACACAAAGGCCCCAGGTGGAGGCTTAGCCACTAACAGGTGACAGAATAGAAATGCAAGAGCATCTTTTCAAAGAAGACACTGAAGTGCCAGCCCTAGGAAGTCGGGGAGGGAGAAGGGCCAGGGCCCTAGGAAGTGGGGAGTGGGGGGAGAAGGGCCAGGGCAGGGAGAGCAGGGGGCAAGCCAGGGGTGGAAGGAGGAAGCCTGAACCCCTTGACTTTCAAACAGGTCTTGTAAGAACTCCCCAGTACATCTGCATTGACAAAAGGGTTTTATCTTTTGTTCGAAGTGGGGAGAATTACAGAAAGAGGGCACAATTCTTCAGCTGCCTAAAACTGTTAGAGTATCAAAATATTTCCATTTTATTTCTGCATCATAATCTGTAACTTTAACAACGTTGATCATTAGCTGATATAGTAATACAAAAAATGAGGGAGATAAAGATGTTCATATTCATTTTCATAAAGTGCAGATTTAATTTTCAATTGTTTGCCTTAGAAACATCACTTCATTCCACATCCTCCCCTGCCCCCACCCAAGGAGGGAGGGGAAAAGGCTATTTTTTATTTTTACTCAACAAATGTCTAACACAAAGAATAAAAGAAAGATCTAATAAAGATTTTTTACAAACATTTTTCCGGGTAGGTAAGATTTCTAAGGACAACAGTAGTGAGTGTAAAATAACCTTTCATAACTAATTTGAATACACAGAATAAAATAACAAATACATAATTTAGACCTCCATGCTTATTTTGTGACTTTTAGGTCTCCAACTATGAAAAAGATACATAACCTGAACAAGAACAGTTACCTTCTTATGTGGCCAAATTACTCTTACTGAAGTCTGAAGACACTCTCTGGTCTTGGCCTAGGCAATTACAGAGAGTTGCTGTCGCACTCATACATTTACATCCAAAGTGGGCTGCTTATTTTACTCTACCATGTAAGGACTGGCATCTTTTTCAAAAGAACACTGCTAGCAACAGGGTTAATTAAAGAGTACTAGTGGCTTAAGTTTGCCAGATGCTTACCTCTGCAACAGTATAAATATGGATTATTAAAGTTGTCTACTCAAGTACAAAATTTATGCAAAATCCTCATAATATAGGCAAAAATGTTCAAAGGCCAAGAAAAAAAAATCTTTTCTTTTACAAGAAAGTGCAACTGCAGGATCTTTTCTGAATGATCTTCTAGACTGTTCTGCAGAAAACTTAGTTTGGCTCAGAAAGTAGAGTTCCTCATGAGGAACAAAAGTTCTTCCTAGAAGAATATAAAGCAAAATTTCAGGCAGCTTTCTGAAAATAAACTGTTAGTTGGTGATTACGCAGTGAGACAACTGGAACTTATAATAATGAAGGCTTCTGGGTTTGCTGTGATTTGCACAAGAACTTGGCAGAGCTTTTTCTCTCTTACTCCGGGACGCCACGCCATTGCTAATGTTATTTATGGTGGTTACAGCACTTTGTCCAACACTGACTGCAGGCAGGAAACCAATCAGGAGAAAATAGGAAGGGTTTTCATATGTGTTTCAGGGCTTTTTCAGGTCAAATCGCAATACTTTAAATCGTTAAAAATATAACATTTTCTTTGTTATTTTCAGTATTTTACATAGTTAGTGGATAATCGTGGTGAGAGAGCTTTCTATCATTCATCAGTGATACAGCGTCACAGTCAGATTTTCAGCATCTGCTCAGCTGCCGCTAGATGGTAAAGGAAGTTTTCTGTTGCTGGTGGAAATCGTCTTTGCTTTAGGGCCTCAAAATTGAGAACTAGCTTTTCTCCATCATCAGAAACTTCTGAAAATGGTTCCAGGTTGGTGAAGATTTCTCTTGTTTTTAGGGAAATATCCTTTAATGGAACAGGAAAATATGCCATTTGTTAGCATCAAAAAATATGAATCGTTGCATTCGAAGAGAATTCTTCCTGCTATTTTTTAAGTCTATCAGACTATAAATTAGGAAAACTGAAACTTAAAACAACTTAGAAAAACCAGTGTCCTGTTTTTGCCATTTTAGCCATTTTTAAGTGTATGATTCAGCAGCATTAAGTACATTCACAGAGTTTTATGACTACTGGCCATTTCCAGAACTTTTTCATCCTCCTAAACTGAAATTTTGTACCAATTATAAACAGTAACTCCCCATCCCCGTCTCCAACCCCTGGTAACCACCATTCTACTTTTTGCCTTGATGAATTTGCTTATTCTAGGTACCTCGTATAAGTGAAATCACAGAATGTTTGTCCTTTTGCGTCTGGCTTCTCTCACTCAGCATAATGTTTTCAAGGTTCGTCCGTGTTGTGGCACAACTTAGAACTTCCTTCCTGTTAAGGCTGAATGATACCCTACCCTATGCACATTGTGTTTACTCATTCATCCACTGATGGGTGTTTGGGTTATTTTTTACCTTTTGGCTATTGTGAATAGTGCTGCTATGAACATGGGTGCAAATACTTCTTTGCGTCCCTATTTCCAGTTCTTTCTCCTACACATCCAGGAGAATTGCTGGATCTATGGTAACCCTGTGTTTAATTTTTTGAGGAACCCTGCTATTTTTAGAACAGATCTCCTCCCAAAGCCCTTTTCCACCTGGGGCGAGTGACCCAGCACCCGTCACATGGGCTGTACCCCCACTGACTGACAGCACTCTGCCTGGCTGAGAAGTCACCAGAGCTGGCACTAAATCATGTCTTTTTCTTGGTTTGCTGACATCATTCATTCATTCAAATATTTTCAAACCCCTAAAATATGCCAGGCACTTTCCTCATACATTATACTGAGTCACCTATGTATCACTTTTAGTCCATGAAAAACACAGTAATTCAAAACTCATATTTACATAGCAAACCAACATGGTAAAGAGTCAATGTTTTGGGGCACCAGGGTGGCTGGTTAAGGGCCCGACTCTTAGTTCCGGCTCAGGTCATGATCTCATGGGTCCTGAGATCAAGCTCCACGTCAGGCTCTCCGATCAGAGGGGAGTTTGCCCCTCCCCCCACTCACTCACACTCTCTCCCCCAAACAAATCTTAAAAAAAAAAAAAAGTCAATTTTTTACCCAAATGTTGACAGAGGGATGGATGGGCAATGCGATCCAATGGAAGGAAAGGAGAGTCTCGGTGTTCAGGTCCTTAGGACAAGACCCGCCCACTCTTCCTGGCCAGAGCTGGATGCGCCACCAGCACTGAACAGAAAGAACAGTGCTGCTGGTGGGTTCCCGTCAAAGCCGTGGCTGCTCTCATCTGTTAGCTCACAGGCTGCCTCCTCAGAGAGCTGTCTGACCCCTTCTCCAACATTCTCTACCTTGACTTCTTGTTCTATCACAGCATTTATCATGGCTCACAGTGATCTGGCTTTTACACTGTTTTCTATTCATCTACTCCACTAAATACAAGACATGAAGGCAGGGGACTTGCTCCCCACAGTATCCCTTGCCCAATGCCTGACAAAGAGTGTTCAATAAATATCTTCCAGGTAAATGAATGAATAAATGGAGAAAAGAGCCAGGTCCAAACAGGGGAGTAGGGCATGCTTATCAGAGGGGGCCCCCCCAAGTGGCACAAGTGCAGACAATGGCCTCTGGCCAGGCTGCTGGCCCCCATGGGATAACACAAAGGTCTAGATGAGCCAGGGCCCGGGAGAGGCCGGGCTGGAAGTGTATCCCAGGAGAGGAGCAAAGAGCTGGGAACGGGCGCAATGCAAAAAGACAGCAGAGAGGAGACTGGGCAGGCCGCAGCGCAGAGGAGGGGCTTTATCACCACACGGAGAGCCTT